CATCAAAGGGACGATGGACCGTCACATCTTGGGTGAGAACCTCCTTCCTTCAGCCAGGGCATTGAAAATGGGTCGTGGATGGGTATTCCAGCATGACAATGACCCAAAACACACAGCCAAGGCAACAAAGGAGTGGCTCAAGAAGAAGCACATTAAGGTCCTGGAGTGGCCTAGCCAGTCTCCAGACCTTAATCCCAAAGAAAATCTGTGGAGGGAGCTGAAGGTTCGAGTTGCCAAACGTCAGCCTCGAAACCTTAATGACTTGGAGAAGATCTGCAAAGAGGAGTGGGATAAAATCCCTCCTGAGATGTGTGCAAACCTGGTGGCCAACTACAAGAAATGTCTGACTTCAGTGATTGCCAACAAGGGTTTTGCCACCAAGTACTAAGTAACGTTTTGCAGAGGGGTCAAATACTTATTTCCCTCATTAAAATGCAAATCAATTTAATCATCACATTTTTGACATGCGTTTTTCTGGATTTTGTTGTTGCTATTCTGTCTCTCACTATTCAAATAAACCTACCATTACAATTATAGACTGATTATGTCTTTGTCAGTGGGCAAACATACAAAATCAGCAGGGGATCAAATACTTAATTCCCTCACTGTATATACATTTTATGGACACAGTCAATTTTACAATAATTCTATGTTGTTAGTTTTTACTCCTGAACTTCCTCTACCCTCAACCTCTCCGATCATTTTCATGATATCCATCCGGTTTGCTTCTATATGCCATATCTTTCTAACTGTGCTCTTTCACAAAAGCTCTCAACCTATATACTTATTATGGACACAGTATGCTTTACATTAGTTATCTTGTTGTTATTAGTTGTTGTTAGTTGTTATTAGTCCCATCCTTCAACACCACCCATCTATCTCTTAACACCATCCATATTGGATTTCTATTTGCCATATTTCTCAACTGTACTGTGATGTTTTACAAAGGTTCTGAACCTTTCTATTCTCATTGTTTCTACAGATTGTAAATCGAAAATAAACATTTTTGCTAAAAGTATTATTATATTATTGATCAATTGACTATGATGTTTCAGATCACCCAGTAGTGCTATCTGCAGGGTTAGCTCCAGGTAAATATTGCGACCTGTGTCCAAAAACAAGCTACAAATGGACAGTACCAAAACCAATGATCTAATGATTCTGTCTCTTCGCAGCAAAATCTGCAGAGCTGGGAAGATGGTATCCCCCATATAAATAACATTCTATTGGTAGCAAGAATTTTATATAATAATTTAAATTGAACAATTTGAAGTTTTGAATCCGGCGTCGTTTTGCGTATCAGTTCATAAACACTATGCCATGGAATCGGTACATCAAAAATCTCTCCCCAACTATTTTGCAATCTATATGGGACGGCTGTCAATCCTTTGGTCCTTAAATTAAACTGCTATACTTTTTTTATTTATCACAATTTTCTTTAACCAATTATGTTCTTTAATGCAGGGCCGAGAGACAAGTTCCTTACTTTTTCCCCCTTCCGCTTTCCTCTTCCATTTTTGCAGTAATGCTGCAATTATTTTAAAATATTTGGTTGTAATTTGGTTGTAATTTTGGGTAGAGCAGACATTTCCATATGTTTTTGTTAGCTGCATGTGCGACATAACTCCACCAGTCCTACCTATGATATCATTTACGAAGATTATACCTTTTTTAAACATTTTGTCAAAAAATAATGTTTTTTTTTATCAATTAGTATATTTGAGTTTAACCACAATATTTGTTGCATTATTTGTTCTGTTGTTTCTGGAGGATTTAATTGAAATTGGAACCAACTTTCTATGGCTTGTTTTAGAAATAGTGATATTTGGGAGATTATTTCCTTTTCAAATAACAAAGTGAGAGGTTGTAATCTGAATAAAGGGAAAAAGGCCATTCTTGAACATTGGGTGAGACAATCTTACTAATTCGCTAGAGAACTAGTTCGTATTTAAGTATAACTTTTGTATGACTGAAGCTTTTAGTGATAGGTCTGATGCTTTAATATTTAATAATTTTGTCTGGCTTGCCGTTCCAAATAAAATTGAATATTTTTTTCTCATATAATTAAAAAAACTGTTCGCTAGGCGTAGGCAAGACCATAAGCAAATACGTAAACTGGGATAATACTAAAGAGTTAATCAGGGTGATTTTTCCACAAATTGACAGGTATTTACCTTTCCATGGTAGCAAGATCTAATCTATTTTTGCTAACTTTCTATTAAAATGTATTGGAGTGAGATCATTTATTTCATTTAGGATATGCATCGCAGTGCTAACTGTGCCACTAGAGATCCTGGTTCGAATCCAGGCTCTGTCGCAGCCGGCCGCGACCGAGAGACTCATGGGCGGCGCACAATTGGCCCAGCGTCGTCCAGGGTAGGGGAGGGAATGGCCGGCAGGGATGTAGCTCAGTTGATAGAGCATGGCGTTTGCAACGCCAGGGTTGTGGGTTCGATTCCCACGGGGGGCCAGTATAAAAATATATGTATTCACTAACTATAAGTCGCTCTGGATAAGAGCGTCTGCTAAATGATGTAAATGTAAATGTAAATGTATATCCACATCACCATCAGACCATTTTATTGGTAAACTACATGGTAATGTAAAAATTGTATTTTTTAGTGATCCAATACGTAATATAGTACATTTATCATAATTTGGTTGTAATCTTGCATTTATAGCGGCTAAGCAATGCATTGCCATTCATTGGAAGGTTGGTTATCCTCCCACAATGTCACAATGGATAACAGAAATGTCAAGTTATGCATCACTAGATTGGATTTATTACAAGATTAAGGGTATGCTGGGCAACTTTCATAAGGTCTGGATGCCTTATATGGAATACAGTACGACAAAAGGAGTCTGGATTGAAAACATGCCCTTATCAGGGGAGATACCTATTTAGGTAATCACTAGCTGCTGGGCTGCTCAGTCCTGGCCCTGTGGGTCTGCCGTACTGTGGGTAGTCACTCTGGCCTTGGCCTAACACACTTGAAACCAATAATGAACGTCTCAGTAAGATCCTAAAGCTGAGTGGGGTGTGTTGGGTTGGGGCGCTGCAGGGCGGTGGATCCCTATGGGCAGGACAGGGCGACCCGTAGGGCCCCATGTTTTATGACCAGAAATAAAAGATCCTAGACATATTCCATACGCACAAAAGGCTTATTTCCTGTTAGTGAGCATTTCTCCTTTGCCAAGATAATCCATCCACCTGACAGGTGTGGCATATCAAGAAGCTGATTAAACAGCATGATCATTACACAGGTGCACCTTGTGCTGGGGACAATAAAAGGCCACTCTAAAATGTACAGTTTTGTCACACAACATAATGCCACAGATGTCTCAAGTTTTGAGAGAGTGTGCAATTGGCATGCTGACTGCAGAAATGTCCACCAGAGCTGTTGCCAGATAATTGAATGTTCATTTCTCTACAATAAACTGCCTCCAAGTCGTTTTAGAGAACTTGGCCAGTACGTCCAACCGGCCTCACAACCGCAGACCACGTGTAACCACACCATTTACATTTTAGTCATTTAGCAGACGCTCTTATCCAGAGCGACTTACAGTTAGCGAGTGCCCTGCATGACCCCAATGCATTTAAGAATTACACCATGTCCGGGAAAGTAGAAATTATGTTCGGGCCAGTAGATTTTTGGCCAACTGGACTGACTGGGCCAGTGAGGAAAAAAAGTTAACGTTGGACCCTGGCGTATTTCATATGCAGCCACGGAGTGGTGGTGCATAGGCTATTTACTGTGCTTTGATTGACGAACAGCAAGCTTTAATCGTTTATGAAAGGTGTCGAACTGACTGAATAAAGTCGATCTCACATCTTTGCCATTCATAAATCATACAACATAATTATATGTCCCTGGTATCACATCGGGACAAGTAACCTAAATATATCATTTTGTATTTTCGATATGTAGTCCATCAGGACTTGCCAGACAGTAACGTTAAAGTAAATGACTTGTCAGTAGCCTACCAAATCGCATTGGTAAGAGAGATGTTCATTTTGCTCCCTAATTTGCATACTGGTAGTCTTTTGGGCGATTATCTGCAGATAACTTATGAAAACATTTGTTGAAGATGGTGAAATCCTCCTCACTGCAGGAACAATGGGTAAGCTAGTGGAGAGAGCGCCTCACTCTGGTCCAAAATATGATAAAAGAAAACAGATTGAATTGTTTTAAAAGCTAATGATACTTATATGGTATTTTCAAAGATATTGATATAGGTCTACTGATTTAATCAAAGTGTTGACTATGGAGGAGTCAATTGCTGCTTTCTGTGTAGCAAAGACAATGTTTAACACCTGCTTCATTCTTCAATCATACCTGTATTGCAGATAGCTGACAAAATGCCTCTTTAAAGGAAGCCTGAAACCTGTGGAAGTCAGCAGACTCTTAAAAGGATTCTTTAAGTCAAAATACAGATTTTCCTGTCTTTTATATCATATTGTACAACAGCTGATAAAACTAACACTGTAAAAGTGTGAAAAATCTGATCAGTGTTATTTTCTGATAGTTGCTGGTTGAAAATACAAATACATTCTAGCATTGGAATGTACCAGAGGCCACCAAAATAGAGCTTGTTCGGCATAAAGTTCTTAACCTGGGCCCGGGGAGCACGGCTGGCTACTTTTTCTATTTGGCTGACTACTCCATGTGGTTGTGGAAAACACTGAGAATGTGTTTGTTTCTTATGATTCTGTGCTTGATCTCATATTTTTATACATTTTTTATTGTGTTTTTGCTTGTTTATAAATGTTAACTAATATTTTTACTACGTTTTGTAACTTTCCCCAGGCCATTGCTGTAAATAAGAATGTATTCTCAGTCAACGGACCTGGTAAAATAAGGAATACAAAATAAATACAACTCACTGGGGTCGTAGGGGTGTGGCTGGAGGCAGTTTACTACGTGATTGTCGGCCTCCAGCAGCATCAGGTGCTCCCCCGTGTGTCTGTCCCAGATGAAGATGTGTCCGCAGTCTGAACCGCTCATCACAAAGTTGTTCCCCCAGAAACACGACTCCTTAATCTACAGACAACACACAAAGCATTGGCGTAGATAAAGGAATTTTAAATGCTTTCAAAGCATCTCGAAACGTACTTATATATAGTATAGTGTATTGTACATTGCATGATGTTTTCAGTACGGGCTCAGGTAGGGGTGAGCTGATCTAGAATCAGCTGTAAAAGAGGGACCAGAAGTAACCAAAGTTGGAAGTGAAGATTAGCGTACCATAGTCCTGGAGTTGCGGTGTCCCTTGTAGACCATTTTGACTGAGGGTCTCCTGATATTCTGGGTCTCGCTCTCCTCCATCTCTCTCCTCTCCTTCCTCCGACGAAACAGCTCCTGGATACGGGCCGCAGCGGAGCGTCTGTGACACACGCAGAGACAGAAAGAGACACACAGAAGTTATATACAGTATTGACAGTTAATATCTTTCACTCTATATCTGCAGAGAGGGAAGTGAATACTGAGCGTCATGCTGATTCACCCCTCGATGATACTGAACCAACCAAAACATCACATGGAAAAAGAATCAGCTTCAAGCTGCCAATATTCCTCATGCCAAGCTAACTGACTGTCACCAGTCTATTACAACCCTACACATACTGTAGATAGGGGAATGTAATTATTTGACTTCTCACTGTAGCCAATCTATCTATACACACAGTGTACAAAACATTAAGAACACCTTCTTAATATTGAGTTGCACCCCACCCCCCCCACCCCTTTACCCTCAGAACAGCCTCAATTTGTCGGGCATGGACTCTACAAGGTGTCGAAAGCGTTCCACAGGGATGCTGGCCCATGTTGACTGGGTGTCGTTTGGGTGGTGGACCATTCTTGATACACACAGGAAACTGTTGAGGGTGAAGGACCCAGCTGCATTGCAGTTCTTGACACAAATTGGTGTGCCTGGCATCTACTACCATACCCTGTTCAAAGGCACTTAAATATTTTGTCTTACCCATTCACCCTCTGAATGGCACACATACACAATCCATGTCTCAAGGCTTAAAAATCCTTCTTTAACTGGTCTCCTACCCTTCACCTACACTGATTAAAGTGGATTTAACAAGTGGCATCAATAAGGGATCATAGCTTTCACCTGGATTCAGCTGCAGTCTATGTCATGGAAGGAGCAGGTGTTCTTAATGTTTTTGTACACTCAGTGTATATACAGTATATATATATATATATCTTTATCCTATCAATCTTGTTGTGTGCAAACAATGAATAAGCTTAGTCTAAGCTGGCTATATTACCAATAGGCATCATCTACATTTTCTCCAGGGATTGTAGGGCTTCATTCATTGGCTGTTGCATCACTGGTGTTGCCTTTTACCCTGGCGACATCACTAGGTACCTGCCAGGGATGAAGTAGCTAATAGCTATCCTCTTAGCGAATGGTGGTGGTGATACACACATGCATATGCATGCTCACACCATTAGTGTTCCGCAACAGTGCCCCTCACACCCACAAGGCTTAATAATGTTGGTGAAAACTACAAACACCACGCCTTCTAGGTACAGACTTACAGTAGTCTCAGGGGGTTGCTTGGACTCATGGGAATTTTTCTATGAGCACTGCACTCCTTGCAGGTTAGATGTTTTAGTAGTCGACACACAGACGTTACCTGATCATTCTATCGCCTACCGCTGATCCTCTGAAATTAGATCTATGTGTATAGCAGAATCATCAATTGTAATAAACCACACAGAACAAGAGAAAAGGAGTCCTCACGACAAGGAGAAAATATACATCAAAATAGTGTGTGTGTGTGTGTGTGTGTGTGTGTGTGTGTGTGTGTGTGTGTGTGTGTGTGTATGAGCTGCCGTGCTGTAGTCCGTACCTCTGCCCCTGTCCTCCTCTGTACCTCGCTGAGGGGATAAGAATTGGGTCGTCATCACTGTCGTCTGAGTCCTGGTTACTACGGGAGGGTTGGCCCTGCCCACCCGGTCCCGTTGGAACCCCCTGCCCCCCTGGTCCTGTTGGACCCCCATGCCCCCCCTCCCCAGCAGGCTGCTCTCTCCTGCACCCCCCAGAGGTGTCCTCTGCACCCACACCATGGCTCCTCTCCAGGGGCGAGGCAGTCAAACTCTCCCCCACAGAGGAGGCTTGTGCTGGGGCCTGGGCGGGCGTGTAGCCCTGGGTGCTGGTGCTGGAGGAGGAGGCGGAGGCATCCCCAGCCTCGCACACTGGGTCTGTATGGGGAGCAGCAGCCCTGCTCCGGCTTGAGGGCTCTAAAATAGCTGCAGCTGCTGGTATTGAAGGAGGAGAGAGAAAGGGAGAGTGATGTGGTCAGTATGAGGCTCAAGAACTGAACAGTTGTCTAGGTGAGGACAATATGTCAGAAACTAAGTGGACCTAATGCCGTTTTCGTGTGATCCACTGAATAAAACCCTCCAATGTTTGAAGTCATGACCACCAGATCAGTGCTACACATGGCATCCCATAGAGTGCAGTAACAATCATGGACATTAGGCCGCTCTAGTCCTCACCCTGCTCTGAGGCAGAGCTCTCAGCCGAGGGCCCCTCTCTGGTCTGGACGGCCCCTGCTGCCTCTGACTGTTTGGGCCCTCCACTGCCCCTGGAACTGGAGGCTCTGCTGCTCCTAAAGTGTGGGGGGTGGGGGGGTGAGAGTCTTTCTTAAAGAACACCTGAGAAACATTGTCACCAAAATGAGATTGTACATTTTAATTTGTAAATTTATTTGATGAGTAAAAATCAGAGAACATCAAGGTTCAGTTTCCCTCGGTATTTCATAAAGAATCTTCGATATAAAAAAATATAAAAAATAATTGTAATAAATAAAAGTGTAATTTAGTCCTCGTTGGGCAATGGACTTACCAATGGAATCATAAGTCGTATTTATATATATATATATATATATATATATATATATATATATATATATATATATATATATATATACACACACACAATGCCACAGATACACACACACACTGAACAAAAATATAAACGCTACATGTAAAGTGTTGGTCCCATGTTTCATGAGCTGAAATAAAAGATCCCAGAAATGTTCCATACGCACAAAAAGTCCCTCCTTGTGGCACCTGACCACACTACTGAACAGTAGTCTAGTTGCGACAAAACTAGGGCCTGTAGGACCTGCCTTGATAGTGTTGTTAAGAAGGCAGAGCAGCGCTTAATTAAGGACATACTTCTCCCCATTTTAGCTACTGTTGTATCAATATGCTTTGACCACGACAGTTTACAATCCAGGGTTACTCCAAGCAGTTTAGTCACCTCAACTTGCTCAATTTCCACATTATTCATTACGAGATGTAGTTGAGGTTTAGGGTTTAGTGAATGATTTTGGAAATATTTAGGACTAACTTATTCCTTGCCACCCATTCCGAAACTAACTGCAACTCTTTATTAAGTGTTGCAGTTATTTCAGAGTCTGTAGCAGCTGACGTGTATAGTGTTGAGTCATCCGCATACATAAGACACACTGGCTTTACTCAAAGCCAGTGGCATGTCGTTAGTAAAAATGGAAAAAAGTAAGGGGCCTAAACAGCTGCCCTGGGGAATTCCTGATTCTACCTGGATTAAGTTTGAGAGGCTTCCATTAAAGAACACCCTCTAGGTTGTTAGACAAGTAACTCTTTATCCACATTATAGCAGGGGGTGTAAAGCCATAACACATACCTTTTTCCAGCAACAGACTAGGATCGATAATGTCAAAAGCCGCACTGAAGTCTAACAAAACAGCCCCCACAATCTTTTTATCATCAATTTCTCTCAGCCAATCATCAGTAATTTGTGTAAGTGCTGTGCTTGTTGAATGTCCTTCTCTATAAGCATGCTGAAAGTTTGTTGTCAATTTGTTTACTGTAAAATAGCATTGTATCTGGTCAAACACAATTTTTTCCAATAGTTTTCTAAGGGTTGGTAACAGGCTAATTGGTCGGCTATTTGAGCCAGTAAAGGGGGCTTTACTATTCTTAGGTAGCGGAATGACTTTTGCTTCCCTCCAGGCCTGAGGGCACATACATTCTAGTAGGCTTAAATTGAAAATATGGCAAATAGGAGTGGCAATATCGTCCGCTATTATCCTCAGTAATTTTCCATCCAAGTTGTCAGACCCCGGTGGCTTGTCAGTGTTAATAGACAACAATAATTTGTTCACCTCTTCCACACTCACTTTACGGAATTCAAAATTACAATGCTTGTCTTTCATAATTTGGTCAGATATACTTGGATGTGTAGTGTCAGCAATTGTTGCTGGCATGTCAAGCCTAAGTTTGCTAATCTTGCCAATGAAAAAAATATTAAAGTAGTTGGCCATATCAGTTGGTTTTGTGATGAATGAGCCATCTGATTCAATGAATGATGGAGCTGAGTTTGCCTTTTTTCCCAAAATTTCATTTAAGGTGCTCCAAAGCTTTTTACTATCATTCTTTATGTCATTTATCCTTGTTTCTTCTTCTTTTTATTCAGTTTAGTCACATGGTTTCTCAATTTGCAATACGTTTGCCAATCGGTTGTGCAGCCAGACTTACTTTCCTTTCCTTTTGCCTCATCCCGCTCAACCATAGTTTTCCAATTCCTCACCAATCCACGGGGATTTAACAGTTTTTACAGTCATTTTCTTAAATGGGTGCATGCTTATTAGTAACTGGAATAAGCACTTTCATAAATGCGTCAAGTGCAGTGTCTGTCTGCTCCTCATTACACACCACGGACCAACATATATTCTTTACATCAACAACATAGGAATCACTACAAAACTTATTGTATGACCTCTTATACACAATATTAGGCCCAGCCTTTGGAACTTTGGTTTTCCTAGATATGGCTACTATATTGTGATCACTACATCCAATGGATTTGGATATTGTTTTCAAACAAATCTCTGCAGCATTAGTAAAGATATGATCAATACAGGTTGATGATTTAATTCCTGTACTGTTTGTAACTACCCTGGTAGGTTGACTGATAACCTGAACCAGGTTGCAGGCACTGGTTACAGTTTGAAGCTTTCTCTTGAGTGGGCAACCTGATGAAAGCCAGTCAATATTTAAAATCACCCAGAAAGTATACCTCTCTATTGATATCACATACATTATCAAGCATTTCACTCATGTTATCCAGATACTGACTGTTAGCACATGGTGGTCTATAGCAGCTTCCCACCAGAATTGGCTTTAGGTGAGGCAGATGAACCTGTAGCCATATTACTTCAACAGTATTTAACATGAGATCCTTTCTAATCTTCACAGGAATATGGTTCTGATTATAAACAGCAACACCTCCACCATTGGCATTTCTATCTTTTCTGTAAATGTTATAACCTTGTATTGCTACCACTGTATCCTCAAAGGTATTATCTAAGTGAGTTTCAGAGATGCATTTACATTTTAGTCATTTAGCAGACGCTCTTATCCAGAGCGACTTACAGTTAGTGAGTGCATACATTTTTTCATACTGGCCCCCCGTGGGAAACGAACCCACAACCCTGGCGTTGCAAGCGCCATGCTCTACCAACTGAGCTACACAGGGCTGTAGTCAGAATATGAATGTCATCTGTTACTAGCAAATTATTGATTTCATGAACCTTGTTTCTTAAGCTACATATGTTAACATGGGCTATTTTGAGCACTTTTCTTCTGGGATGCTTACTTGTTTTTATTGCTTTACTGGGAAGCTTAGCAGCAGTAGATGTTATGTTAGTGCAGTGTATCTTGATCACTTTAAAGAATGTTTTGTATAGTGGGTGTTTTGTTTGTTTGTTTTTGTGTTGTGTTTGTAAGGTCTTATCAAAATTATAATAATAAAACAAAGTCACAAAAAAATAAACATATCCATGGAGTGTGCTTTTCATTCCAGCAGTAGGCTTAACCTGTGTCTGTGAAATCAGCTCCTAAAGTTTGAATAGTGTAAAGTTGTGCTTCTGGCTTTTTAAGCAGTGGAGTCAGAGTCACTTGCTCACCACTCGTCAGTGAAGTCCAGTTTGATGGTGCTGGTGGTGGTTCCCTCAGTGCTGTAGTGTAAACTCAGGACGGGTTCTGCTGTGCTGGCTCGGCTACATCCAGGTCCAGTACTGCTACTAGGTTCCCCGGACGAGGTTCCAGCTACACTGACAGATAGAGACTGGGTTTTCACTTTGATTGAACTCGCTCCAGCACTTCGCTCCACACTCACAGCTTCTGATGCTCCTGAGAGAGAGAGGAGAGAGGAGAGAGGAGAGAGAGAGAGAGATGAAGGGAAGTAGAAAGAGATACAGATTATTTAATAAGGTGGAATATATTAGTTTATATATGACAATAGTTTTGCCTTTGATTGGCTCCTGGTTACCAAAGTAAAAATCACTACTAGCCTCCATACATTTTCAACCCAGTTAATCATCTTAAGTACATTTGAGACTTTGTGATAAAACAATCATCATTGGTTGCTTTTGAAACTAGTGTGTAGACTAATAATCATTTAGCAAATAGATAAAACCACATTGTATTCCATTTCAGTGTTAGCACTTTGCAATATGATGACAACATGCAGCATTGTTATTTGAGGTATGTCAATGGCAATGCAAAAAAGCCACAACACATTTGCTGGTGTTAAAATCTCGGTGTTGAGGTAAAAAGTGTTGTGAGTGTTATATCGGAATGTTGATTCAAGTGGGGTTAACCCGTGGGATTGAAATTGACGCCACCTGCGGTGAATAAATTAAGAGTTACTTGAATCACAGTTACTCGACTGCGTCAACTCTGAGTGAAAAAGACGTGGGAGGGCCGTCATCATATTTCCCAGCATGCTTTGTTTCATGTTGCTTTTTAGAATAATTTGTTTTAATATCTATGTTTGTGCATGCATATTGATTAATTTATCTTATAATACACAAAGATAAATAACACATTTTTCTTCACTAATTCAATCTGTAAGTGGTTGGACTTATTTCACCCATTATTGGCATGGTTGTTCCAGTTTATATGGTTTAGGTAGTCTCATTTATCTATCTTCCCTACCTTGGCAGTCGTTCCAACTGCAGATTGCGGGTGATTAAAAGTTCAATTTGTTTGATATCCTAATTCTGAGTGGATTCCAATAGGAATTATATAACACTTTGCAAGCCAGCATAATGTGACTTGCCGATGTGGCCTGCAAACCAAGAGTTTCAGACCACTGTGTTAGGGTAAAACTAGGCTGTCAAAGTATTGCCTTATGATAAAAGTAATGTATTGTAATAAATAATTTTTTGAAGAATATTCACTTAGGCATTCACTTGTTGAAGGCTACAAAACAAAGCCATCGAATGCAACAATCATGTCTCTAACACTAGCAAACACAGTCATGGGTGGTACTGGTACCTTTAAAATTCACTCAAAAGGCACCCATGGAAATAAATATGCGAATAAGGCTTTACACCCTACAGTGTTAAAACACCCAAAAACGAGTTACTGTAACACCACAAGTGTTAATTCCCTAACACTGAGGAAGTATAACAGCATCAGCGCTAATAAAGTGTTAATGTAAGTCGGAATTAGCAACACCCACAGTGTTAGGGGACCCAACACTCTTGGGGTGTTAGTTTATCAACACTTTGAAAAGTGTTAGTTTAACACTATTTCGGTGGGTCATATACAGTGCAATCGGAAAGTATTCAGACCCCTTGACTTTTTCCACATTTTGTTACGTTACAGCCTTATTCCAAAACTGATTCAATTATTTTTTTCCTCAATCTACACACAATACCCCATAATGACAAAGCAAAAAGAGGTTTAGAATCTTATGCAAATGTATAAAAAATAAAAAACTGAAATATAACAGTTACATAAGTATTCAGACCTTTCACTCAGTACTTTGTTGAAGCACCTTTGGCAGCGATTACAGCCTCTAGTCTTCTTGGGTATGACGCTACAAGCTTGGCACACCTGTATTTGGGGAGTTTCTCCCATTCTTCTCTGCAGATCCTCTCAAGCTTTGTCAGGTTGGATGGGGATCGTCGCTGCACAGCTATTTTCACGTCTCTCCAGAGATGTTGGATCGAGTTCAAGTCCGGGCTCTGGCTGGGCCACTCAAGGTCATTCAGAGATTTGTTGTCTTGGCTGTGTGCTTAGGATCGTTGTCCTGTTGATAGGTGAACCTTCAACCCAGTCTGAGGTCCTGAGCGCTCTGGAGCAGGTTTTCATCAAGGATCTCTCTGTACTTTGCTCCGTTTATCTTTCCCTCGAACCTGACTAGTCTCCCTGTCCCTGCCGCTTAAAAACATCCCCACAGCATGATGCTGCCACCACCATGCTTCACCATAGGAACGGTGCCAGGTTCACCCCAGACGTGACGCTTGGCATTCAGGCCAAAGAGTTCAATCTTGGTTACATCAGACCAGAGAATCTTGTTTCTCATGGTCAGAGTCCTTTAGGTGCCTTTTGGCAAACTCCAAGTGGGCGGTCATGTGCCTTTTACTGAGGAGTAGCTTCAGTCTGGCCACTCTACCATAAAGGCCTGATTGGTGGAGTGCTGCAGAGATGGTTGTCCTTCTGGAAGGTTCTCCCATCTCTACAGAGGAACTCTGGAGCTCCGTCAGAGTGACCATCGGGTTCTTGGTCACCTCCCTGACCAAGGCCCTTCTTCCCCGATTGCTCAGTTTGGCCGGGCGGCCAGCTCTAGGAAGAGTCTTGGTGGTTCCAAACTTCTTTCATTTAAGAATGATGGAGGTCACTGTGTTCTTGGGGACCTTCAATGCTGCAGAAATGTTTTGGTAACCTTCCCCAGATCTGTGCCTCAACACAATCCTATGTTGGAGCTCTACAGACAATTCCTTTGACTTCATGGCTTGGTTTTTGCTCTGACATGCACTGTCAACTGTAGGACCTTATATAGCCAGGTGTGTGCCTTTCCAAATCATGTCCAATCAATTGAATTTACCACAGGTCAATTTCAAGTCTCATAGCGAAGGGTCTGAATACTTATGTACAGCTGAAGTCGGAAGTTTACATACACCTTAGCCAAATACATTTAAACTCAGTTTTTCACAATTCCTGACATTTAATCCTAGTAAAAATGCCCTGTCTTAGGTCAGTTAAGATCACCACTTTATTTTAAGAATGTGAAATGTCAGAATAATAGTAGAGAGAATTATTTATTTAAGCTTTTATTTATTTCATCACATTCCCAGTGGGTCAGAAGTTTTCATACACTCTATTAGTATTTGGTAGCATTGCCTTTAAATTGTTTAACTTGGGTCAAATATTTCAGGTAGCCTTCCACAAGCTTCCCACAATAAGTTGGGTGAATTTTGGCCCATTCCTCCTGACAGAGCTGGTGTACCTGAGTCAGGTTCGTAGGCCTCCTTGCTCGCACATGCTTTTTCAGTTCTGCCCACAAATTTTCGATAGGAGTAAGGTCAAGACTTTGTGATGGCCACTCCAATATCTTGACTTTGTTGTCCTTAAGCCATTTTGCCACAACTTTGGAAGTATGCTTGGGGTCATTGTCCATTTGGAAGACCCATTTGCGACCAAGCTTTAACTTCCTGACTGATGTCTTGAGATGTTGCTTCAATATATCCACATAATTTTCCTTCCTCATGATGCCACCTATTTTGTGAAGTGCACCAGTCCCTCCTGCAGCAAAGCACCCCCACAGCACGATGCTGCCACCCCTGTGCTTCACGGTTGGGATGGTGTTCTTCGGATTGCAAGCAACCCCCTTTTTCCTCCAAACATAACGATGGTCATTCTGGCCAAACAGTTCTATTTTTGTTTCATCAGACCAGAGGACATTTCTCTAAAAAGTACGATCTTTGTCCCCATGTGCAGTTGCAAACCGTAGTCTGGCTTTTTTATGGCGGTTTTGGAGCAGTGGCTTCTTCCTTGCTGAGCAGCCTTTCAGGTTATGTCAATATAGGACTCATTTTACTGTGGATATAGATACTTTTGTACCTGTTTCCTCCAGCATCTTCACAAGGTCCTTTGCTGCTGTTCTGGGATTGATTTGCACTTTTCGCACTAAAGTACATTCATCTCTAGGAGACAGAACGCGTCTCCTTCCTGAGCGGTATGATGGCTGTGTGGTCCCATGGTGTTTATACTTGCGTACTATTGTTTGTACAGATGAATGTGGTACCTTCAGGCATTTGAAAATTGCTCCCAAGGATGAACCAGACTTGTGGAGATCTACAATGTTTTTTCTGAGGTCTTGGCTGATTTCTTTAGATTTTCCCATGATGTCAAGCAAAGAGGCACTGAGTTTGAAGGTAGGCCTTGAAATACATCCACAGGTACACCTCCAATTGACTCAAATGATGTCAATTAGCCTATCAGAAGTTTCTAAAGCCATGACATAATTTTCTGGAATTTTCCAAGCTGTTTAAAGGCACAGTCAACTTAGTAAACTTCTGACCCACTGGAATTGTGATACAGTAAATTATAAGTGAAATAATCTGTCTGTAAACAATTGTTTTAAAAATTACTTTCGTCATGCACAAAGTAGATGTCCTAACCGACTTGCCAAAACTATGGTTTGTTAAAAAAGAAATTTGTGGAGTGGTTGAAAAACGAGTTTTAATGACTCCAACCTAAGTGTACAGTGGGGGAAAAAAGTATTTAGTCAGCCACCAATTGTGCAACTTAAAAAGATGAGAGAGGCCTGTAATTTTCATCATAGGTACACGTCAACTATGACAGATAAATTGCGAATTATTTTCCAGAAAATCACATTGTAGAATTTTTAATGAATTTATTTGCAAATGATGGTGGAAAATAAGTATTTGGTCACCAACAAACAAGCAAGATTTCTGGCTCTCACAGACCTGTAACTTCTTCTTTAAGAGGCTCCTCTGTCCTCCACTCGTTACCTGTATTAATGGCACCTGTTTGAACTTGTTATCAGTATAAAAGACACCTGTCCACAACCTCAAACAGTCACACTCCAAACTCCACTATGGCCAAGACCAAAGAGCTGTCAAAGGACACCAGAAACAAAATTGTAGACCTGCACCAGGCTGTGAAGACTGAATCTGCAATAGGTAAGCAGCTTGGTTTGAAGAAATCAACTGTGGGAGCAATTATTAGGAAATGGAAGACATAAAAGACCACTGATAATCTCCCTCGATCTGGGGCTCCACCAAGATCTCACCCCGTGGGGTCAAAATGATCACAAGAACGGTGAGCAAAAATCCCAGAACCACACGGGGGGACCTAGTGAATGACCTGCAGAGAGCTGGGACCAAAGTAACAGAGCCTACCATCAGTAACACACTACGCCGCCGGGGACTCAAATCCTGCAGTGCCAGACGTGTCCCCCTGCTTAAGCCAGTACATGTCCAGGCCCGTCTGAAGTTTGCTAGAGTGCATTTAGATGATCCAGAAGAGGATTGGGAGAATGTCATATGGTCAGATGAAACCAAAATATAACTTTTTGGTAAAAACTCAACTCGTCGTGTTTGGAGGACAAAGAATGCTGAGTTGCATCCAAAGAACACCATACCTACTGTGAAGCATGGGGGTGGAAACATCATGCTTTGGGGCTGTTTTTCTGCAAAGGGACCAGGACGACTGATCCGTGTAAAGGAAAGAATGAATGGGGCCATGTATCGTGAGATTTTGAGTGAAAACCTCCTTCCATCAGCAAGGGCATTGAAGATGAAACGTGGCTGGGTCTTTCAGCATGACAATGATCCCAAACACACCGCCCGGGCAACGAAGGAGTGGCTTCGTAAGAAGCATTTCAAGGTCCTGGAGTGGCCTAGCCAGTCTCCAGATCTCAACCCCATAGAAAATCTTTGGAGGGAGTTGAAAGTCTGTGTTGCCCAGCGACAGCCCCAAAACATCACTGCTCTAGAGGAGATCTGCATGGAGGAATGGGCCAAAATACCAGCAACAGTGTGTGAAAACCTTGTGAAGACTTACAGAAAACGTTTGACCTGTGTCAGTGCCAACAAAGGGTATATAACAAAGTATTGAGAAACTTTTGTTATTGACCAAATACTTATTTTCCACCATAATTTCCAAATAAATTCATTAAAAATCCTACAATGTGATTTTCTGGATTTTTTTTCTCAATTTGTCTGTCATTGTTGACGTGTACCTATGATGAAAATTACAGGCCTCTCTCATCTTTTTAAGTGGGAGAACTTGCACAATTGGTGGCTGACTAAATACTTTTTTTCCCCACTGTATGTAAACTTCCGACTTCAACTGTACATAAGGTTTTTCAGTTTTTTTTTTGTATATATATATACACATTTGCAAAATAAACTAAAAACCTGTTTTCGCTTTGTCATTATGGGGTATTGTGTGTAGATTGATGAGGAAAATGTTTAATTTAATCAATTTTAGAATAAGGCTGTAACGTATAAAATGTGGAAAAAGTCAAGGGGTCAAGGCAAAGGGTATACGAATGTCACTGTCATCCTAGGGCATTTTGTGTTAATGTTCTGTGAAATAAGCCAATACAGGGACGATTGCATTGAGAGGGAATGGTTTGGGCTTGAGATGATTTACACACGGCTGTGACTGAGTGAAAAGCCAGAAGAAGAGGAGCAAGATTGTGTTATGAATCCAAAATAAAAACAAGACTTTAGGGCTGGAGAATGACCAAACATTATCTCAAGCTATAGGTTCAACAAGAAAGCCTTGGAGAAGATAGCCAACACCAGTTTCCGCCTTGGGGACTGGGTTGGTCAAAGTGACTAGAATGCATGCCTAGTGAAAATGCTCTCAGGTAAAGATGGTAGAGGGGCAAGGTGCACGCCGTGAGTCTCATGCGAATATGTTTTTTAAAATGCCACACAGACGACAGAGAGAAAGCACAGAGGAAAACAGAGATACAAAAGCAGGAGAGAAAGGAAGAAACTACAAGGATACAGGGAAAGAAGGAGAGAGTGAAGGAGGGAGTGAGAGCGAGAAAGTGAGAAGGGAGGGAAAGAGAGGAGAGGAGACGCACCCTGCTGCTCATCCAGAGTCATGGATCCCAGCTGTTTGTTAACCACAGATGAGGGAGAATCTGGAACACAAATAAGACTCACTAAACAACGGGCATAGAGGTCGGAGGTCACACCAGGGGTCATATGGTCACGCGCAGGTCAAAGTTAAAAAGCAGCTTAAAGTGGACCAAGTCCAAGCAGGAAGAAGAGTTAACAAACAGCAGGAAGAAGAGTTAACAAACACGGCTACATGAACAGACAGTGTTGTTTGGTGTAACGCTGGGAAGAGCTAGGAAGGACATATTGATATGGGAATAGAACAACAGCAATTTCCCTACACACAGCTTGTGGGAGATTGAACAGACTGTAGAGTGCCACACGTACAGTGCTGAAAAATATATCACACGCGCGATTCAAAGTTTGATGTCAATGGAAGATTTACACAGTAGTTTAACTTATTCACGCATCTCAAGTTACTCTCACAGGGCTGAGTGAGACCTAAGTCATGGACTGATGGACCTCACAGTAATACTAACATCCACTCACTGCATGCCTGTTAAACTGATACCAATGGGCAACCACACTGACCAAAACCCATGTCATGCCCAAACACCTGTCACCGTATGTGAGCAGTAGTCAGTAATCTCAAAAAGGGCATCATGCAGAAATTCATCATTGGCAAACCTTTTACTCCACCTCAAATTAGATTCATAGACATCCCCCAAAAAGTTGTTACCAGTACATATTGATTGATTCCTACAACAATGTCACATGGTCTGATGCTAGTGCATTCCACTGCAATTCAAGCTATGTACGTCCACATTACAGCGTTGCGTGAGGCAAATCGTAGAGGATTGAGAATGAACATTGTTATTCACCTTAATATGAAAATACCAATTGGTGTGTACAAAGTAGCTTTATCAGTGTCTACAGTAAAGCCAGATATTTCACAGCACTGACGAGGCCTTGCACCATTACTGAAGCTCAAATGTTCAGGTCCAAATATGGACATATTTAGTTTAACTACATATGGAATGGGAAGCTAAAGAAAACTAAATCATTGTAGCCATTTACATTATATACTGTATGTATTCTCATATTTCAACACTATAAGAATACAACCATAACACAAGCCATGGCCCTTTGAGTGTGTGAAAAATGTTCGGCACTGAGCAAATGTCAGGTCTGCTGAGCACAAACTTGAACGTTGTGAAAATTCTGTGCAACTTCTGGTGCGCGTTTACTGTTATAAAGTTACAGTTATAAAAGTGGCTATATTTGATCATAATGTACAGTTGAAGTCGGAAGTTTACATACACCTAGGTTGGAGTCATTAAAACTAGTTTTTCAACCCCTCCACAAATTTCTTGTTAAACTATAGTTTTGGCAAGTCGGTTATGACATCTACTTTGTGCATGACTCAAGTAATTTTTCCAACAATTGTTTACAGACAGATTATTTCACTTATGATTCACTGTATCACAATTCCAGTGGGTCAGAAGTTCACAAACACTAAGTTGACAGTGCCTTTAAACAGCGTGGAAAATTCCAGAAAAAAAAAAAAATTATTATGCACTCACTAACTGTAAGTCGCTCTGGATAAGAGCATCTGCTAAATGACTAAAATGTAAAATGTAAATGATAGGCTAATTGACATCATTTGAGTCAATTGGAGGTGTACCTGTGGATGTATTTCAAGGCCTACCTTCAAACTCAGTGCCTCTTTGCTTGACATCATGGGAAAATCTAAAGAAATCAGCCAAGACCTCAGAAAAAACATTGTAGATCTCCACAAGTCTGGTTCATCCTTGGGAGCAATTTTCAAATGCCTGAAGGTACCACATTCATCTGTACAAACAATAGTACGCAAGTATAAACACCATGGGACCACACAGCCATCATACCGCTCAGGAAGGAGACGCGTTCTGTCTCCTAGAGATGAACGTACTTTGGTGCGAAAAGTGCAAATCAATCCCAGAACAGCAGCAAAGGACCTTGTGAAGATGCTGGAGGAAACAGGTACAAAAGTATCTATATCCACAGTAAAACTAGTCCTATATCGACATAACCTGAAAGGCCGCTCAGCAAGGAAGAAGCCACTGCTCCAAAACCACCATAAAAAAGCCAGACCACAGTTTGCAACTACATATGGGGACAAAGATCGTACTTTTTGGAGAACTGTCCTCTGGTCTGATGAAACAAAAATAGAACTGTTTGGCCATAATGACCATCGTTATGTTTGGAGGAAAAAGGGGCTTGCTTGCAAGCCGAAGAACACCATCCCAACTGTGAAACACGGGGGTGGCAGCATCATGCTGTGGGGGTGCTTTGCTGCAGGAAGGACTGGTGCACTTCACAAAATAGATGGCATCATGAGGAAGGAAAATGATGTGGATATATTGAAGCAACATCTCAAGACATCAGTCAGGAAGTTAAAGCTTGGTCGCAAATGGGTCTTCCAAATGGACAATGACCCCAAGCATACTTCCAAAGTTGTGGCAAAATGGCTTAAAGACAACAAAGTCAAGGTATTGGAGTGGCCATCACAAAGTCTTGACCTTACTCCTATCGAACATTTGTGGGCAGAACTGAAAAAAGCATGTGCGAGCAAGGAGGCCTACAAACCTGACTCAGTTACATCAGCTCTGTCCAGAGGAATGGGCCAAAATTCACCCAACTTATTGTGGGAAGCTTGTGGAAGGCTACCCGAAACATTTGATCCAAGTTAAACAATTTAAAGGCATTGCTACCAAATACTAATTGAGTGTATGTAAACTTCTGACCCACTGGAAATGTAATGAAATAAATAATAGCTGAAATAAATCATTCTCTCTACTATTATTCTGACATTTCACATTCTTAAAATAAAGTTGTGATCCTAACTGACCTAAGACAGGGAACTTTTGCTAGGATTAAATGTCAGGAATTGTGAAAAACTGAGTTTAAATGTATTTGGCTAAGGTGTATGTAAACTTCCAACTTCAACTGTATGCCTATCAGAGTGGCCTACCATCAAAAACAATGGAGAAAATGCATCCCATAACCTTTTTACACGGAAATAGCTGTTATATCATTCAGCCTACAGTAGCAGCCAATGCGTGGTGTTCAATGTAGGCCTACATTCCGTGAGACTTTTGGAAGAAATTTGCAGAGCTTGACATTAACCTGTTTATCCACTTGTCCTTGAGATAAGGAGGTGACTGAAAATGTGTTGTTTGATGCAAGAAACCACTTTACTATTATTACAGAGAATTAGACAAATTATGCTGCCCTCTGCCTATTGGCTACCTAGCTTATTCAAGCCTGTCTCAAAATACAACACTGCCCCCTTAAGACATAAAAAAAAAGCTCTTTACCTGACTTGCTTTTCAAAGATTGCTAGAAATGCATGTTTTGTAGGAAGCAACCACTGCCACATTGCTGACTAGAAATTAGCTATATCTGGGCTAATAACTCACTTACTAGCAAAGAATATGAACAAATATACACACCTGGCTACATGCAGCTCTAGCTTTGATCTCAAAACAAGTGCATCTACTAGCGACCACTCATGCTGTAAACACAGTCCAGTTCAAAGTGAATGGCACAGATCCATATATGGCAATGGTCTATTTGCATATAGGGATACTGCAGCTCTGATTGGTTATACCGAACCAGTCTGTAGAGTATGGGCTGGGTCATGCCTGTCAACGCAATAGAATCCTACTCCGGTGCGTTCTGCCTACAAGAAAATCTCTTGCATAGTTTGTTTTGTTTTGGTAAGTTGCATTGAAAGTGGCTAATATTGGCAATTCCCACAGTAGAGGGAAACGTTGATAGTGTTAACTAAAGGGAAAAACTAGAAAGTTGAGTGAAGTTCAATCTCGTGCTTCTCTGCGCGAGCTGATATTTCTTCTGCATGGCAGTCCTGGGGGAACATTGGTCGTAGTCCATAGTCTTCAATCTCATAGATAGACAACCACTTCATACTGCTTTTGATGCCAAGGGGGTGCAAAAGCAGTGTTCCACAGCCAGAGGGTGCCAAACGCCACACCATACAGGGGAGCTACAGGCGGGACTACCCAAGCAGCAAGAGGAGGGGGTGGTGGTGGGGTTGTGTATGTTTGGTGGGAAGGGGTTTGGGTGTGTGAGAGGTAATGTTGACAGGTGAGGTGTGAGGGGCATATGAGAATTAGGAAAAGGAATTTGGGTAGAGGGGGTGGTGAGTTAGGGAGAAGAGAGAAAAGGGAGTATGGGTGTGGGAATTGGAGTAGGATGAAGATGACCCCTAGACAGATATAAGGTCAGATTCAGTATCAAAATCACAATAGGGTAAGCTGATCCTTGATCTGTGCGGGCAAGTTCTACCGAAAGTATGGGGATTTAAGTGGAAACTTGTGCAGGAAGGAGAGAGGTTGGGGGGGCAAGTAACCTGTAGGGGGGGGCATCTCAGTGGCAGCACCAACAGCAGTAGCCCCCCTTGATTGGCTCTCAGTGGCTGCAGTGGAGGAAGGGGTTTGGCTCTGTCCCGGGGGGTCAGCCAACAGGAGCAACCGCTGCAAACGTCTACACACTAGACTTACTGGCAGCCGGTGAGGGCCGTACTCTGACAGAGAGGTAGAGAGACGAGAGGGATAGAGTGAATGGAGGCAGAAGACAAGAGAAGGAGGATAAGGAGGAGAGGGAGAGGTAAACAAAGGGAGACAAAGGAAATAGTATGGTCGAAAAAGGAGAGGGTAAGGCTGCTGCTTGAGTGGCATGGCTCCCACACACCAATAGACGGTACACACACACACACACACACACACACACGTGTTTTGGTCTGCTTGTGGGTCTACTATGAGTCACCGGTTAGCTCCCCTCAAATCAAATATGATGATGACTCGCCCCTCTTATGGGAGTACTCAGTGTGTGTGTGTTCTCTCCACGCAATTCTTACCGGACAGCACAGCCTCTGTGGTGGGTGTTGGGGTGGGGGTCACAGCCATGTCTGCCTGACTCCTCTGTTCTGAGTCTAGGGAGGAGGTGAGGGAGGAGGAGGAGGGGAGCACCGAGCCCTCCATGGACGAGGAGGTTGATGGGGGAGGTGCTGTAACGGTTGACGATGACTCGGTTGAGGAGGTGGACTTGGGGAGGGGTACATGTACAGGGTTGACGGCGGGGGCCTCTGTTTCCATGGAGCCCTCTGAGGCTCTGGCTTCTTGTGGAGGGGGTATTGCAGGGAGTGTTGGGATGGTGTGGGTTGTAAGAGTCCCCTCTATACGGGGAAGAGTGCCTGGAGGAGACAAATGGAAGATGTTTTTTTGTCATACATTTTCTGAGGGTTTTTTCAGTGTTACTTCAAGGAGAATTTCCATCCTCAGACAATAAAAATATATTGTTTTCTATTCCATTTCATTATATTGTATTCAATTATTTCCCACTTTAAAAAAAACATTGGTGCAAACTAAGCTCCAGAAATAGTGTCCCAAACGAACAACTAAGGCCTGATCCTAGATCTGTGGCAACGGGCCAACACTAAGTACTGCGTACTTACACCAAAACGGCCATTTAAGCTGGCCGCCAACCACTACCGTCCCAGTGTCTCACCTCTGGGGCGTGTCTGAGGGCGCGTGGTCCCCCGACTGCTCTGGGCCTCGCTGGCCTCCTCGAACCAGCGGGACAACATGTCCGACATCCTCTGCATCAGCGATACGTTCTGGCTCTGTTCTCCTGGGGGGGTCAGAGATCGAGTTGGCATGGGACATGACTGGTTGGCATTTCTCAGCACAACATTTCCTTGAAAACCCACAAAGTTATTGTTGTTGTTGCCCCCTTTACCATCGGTCTAGAGAATCCTCGTATCAGGGTATAGCTTGTAGTATAATGCATAAGTCCCTCATTAGCGAACAGCGGAGTACCAATCCACTGCATCATCCAGACAACTGCTGACTTATTGGGAAAAAAGTTTGCTTCTCCTTCTTCTACATCTACAATACCCTAAGATCTATAAAAGTCTGTGATAGCGAGAGGCAGCTTTATCACAGTCCCAGCTGGGCCCGTAATAAGTTGTGAGTCAGAGAGAGCTAAAGCTAACGAGATCCGCATAGACAGAGATAGGCCCTGTTAGCCTCATTAGCAATGAGAGGTAGAGGCTCTGGGTGAGAGATTAGAGCTCAGGCTCTCAGAGGAGACGTGGAGAGTTATCAGGCTGTGTGTGTGTCAGAGAGAGAGCGAGAGCGAGAGCGAGAGAGAGTGTGTGTGTGTAAGTTTGAGAGTGTGTGACATTGTTTTTGTAATGTGTTCAGTCATACCAATTAAGAATAACAGAGAGACCGAGGAGGTAATAGAGAAGAGAGGGAGTGAGAGGGAGAATGTGTGTGTATGTTGTGAGCGTGATTCTGTGTACTCTTACCGTCCCGCTCTCTCTCGCTCTCAGGGCGAGCTCGGGGTCCAGTGTCAGACCAGTCACCTCGTAGACGAAGACGCTTCACTGGGGGTTGCCGCAGCTGTGGACACACACACACACACACACAAAACATTAAGCATAGTTAAAAATAGCCCCACTGACAAGCAAAACATGGCACAGTCCCAGTCACTCCCCCACACAGGAAAACAGGCCTAGAGCCAGGGACCTGGTCACCCAACACTGGTGCCTTAACTCCTACCCTGGGGACAGATAGAGAGAGGGACAGCCAACTTCAGTGGAGAGAGATGAAGGGAGAGCGAGAACGTGGAAGAGACAGAATTACAACTGTGTGGAGGGATAAATGGATAGAGCGAGAGAGAGGGGGTGAGAGGGTAAAGAGCTGAAGGGAGCTAAGGAGAGAGGAGAGATAAAGAGAGGCGAGATAGTGAGAGGGCTGAAGATGTGAGAAACCAAGCACAAGTAGGGTTGCAGAAGTAAGATTATGGGTGGAGGAGGAAGAGCGCGTTAGAGAGGGGTAAAAAGATTCCTTGGCATGCCCTACAGTCCCCGTCCTGGTCTATTTCGGTGGGGTGAGTGGCGGAACATTGCCTGCGTCGGTAGCTGTATTTGGAAAGGCATGCGGGAGCAGAGCCGGGTCAATCCAGACACACCATGCGACAGCTGAGGAGACTGGCACCGTGATCTAGCACATCCAGAAAAACTGGTTCCCCCCTCAAGCCCTTACTCTTAACTTGGCTCACGTCCTTACAGAGGCTGTTTGATTGTGTGTGTGTGTGTGTGTGTGTGTGCACCGCTGAGTATATGAGCAGAATAATTTCTCGTCTTCCTTCCCCCTGGAATCTAGTGTGTGCTCCTTCTCTTCTCTCCTTTTCATTTTATGCTCCCTCTTACTCCTCCTGTTCCTGTTTCTTCCCCTCTTCCTCGCTCTTTCTGTCCTTCCTGTGGCCTGTCAGGGTCCTTGGTTCCTCTCACTGCAACAGCAGCCACCACACAACACATTAACAGGAGATGCCCTGAGAGCACTTCAGTCGCTGAACACAAAGCCAACTATGTCTGTTTACAATCAACATCCCCTTGGCTTGAGAGTGGAGGAGGAGCTTACATTAGAGGCCTATGTCTTGTCTGGCCATGTGTGTGTTTATGCTCCCCACAAAGTCCCATATGGACAATAAACAACATGGTATCGTGATAAAATCCCACACTGACTCATGTAATTGGTCCTCTGTAGCTCAGCTGGTAGAGCACGGCGCTTGTAACGCCAAGGTAGTGGGTTCGATCCCCGGGACCACCCATACACAAAAATGTATGCACGCATGACTGTAAGTCGCTTTGGATAAAAGCGTCTGCTAAATGGCATATTATTTAATGTTTTTAACACACAGAAGGAGAGTGTATGGAAAAATACTGAAGTACGTATACACAGTTTCACAGAGAGGCAAACACACAGTGTGTGTGTGTGTGTGTGTGTGTGTGTGTGTGTGTGTATCCTAGCCTGGCTGTGCATAGAGAAGTATACACCTTTCATATTTAACTCAAACTAAAATGGCGGCGTCTCTTCCCTCCTCTCCTCACCTCCTCCCTCCTCTCCTCGGATGGGCCCTTCAGCTCTCGGGCCTGGTCATTATTGGGGTCAAACAGGTAGATGTAGTCTGAAGAGTAGCTGACCAGCACCTCCTGTCCGTCCCCGCTGTAGCAGAGCGACGTCACGCGACACGACTTGTTTGACAGGTGGGCTGGGACAAAGCGCACACACATGCCCGTCGTTCCACGGCCCATGTAGTTACCTGAGGGGGGGATTTGGTGAGATAGTCAGAGGCAAGTAGGGGGGAACGACAGAGTTAAATGAAACGCAATGAAGTCAGTAGTAGCGTAACTCCAAATGTTTATTTTATTTAACCTTTATTTTAACAGGGAAGACATATTGAGACCTAGGTCTCTTTTACAAATGTGCCCTGTATATACACAAGATAAATATACACATTATACCCAAACTATATCTATCTATGCACATTAAAATAGAAAAACACAGTCATGGGAAGCACAAATTAAACATCACAAATCACACATAAACATGTTACATTCCTCCACAAATAAGTCCCCAATCAATAATTTAATTTGCCCGAACGGCACCAGAACATCAAGATGAAATGTATTTAGAATTTTGTCCAGCAATACGGTGCATTAAAACTAAAAGCAGATTTACCTAGCTTGGTGGAGACCCTAGGAACCTCAAGAGTTAACCAATCCTGTGAACGGGTTAGGCAACTCAGGTATCTATACTTCAACTGCAAAGTTAGATAAGACGGAGAGACGGAAGTTTATGAAGTAGGGCCTTGTAAAAAATAAGGGAGTAATGTAGAGATCTACGGGTCTTTAGCGAAGTCCAGCCAATCTTTTGATACAGGATGCAGTGATGAGTATCAAAACTGTCACTTGTAACAAAACGAAGGGCACTATGGTAGATGGCATCCAAAGGTTTAAGAGTCGTAGTAGCTGCACTTTGATAAATAATATCACCACAATCAAGAACAGATAGAAAGGTTGACTGAATAATCTGCTTCCTACTGCTTAGAGAAAGACACAATCTGTTTCTGTAGAAAAAGCCAACATTAAATCTTAGCTTCTTAACCAGTTCATCTATGGTTTTTTAAACGTCAAATCCATGTCAATCCTAATGCCTAAGTACTTATATGCAGGAACACCTTCGATTGGAGAACCATCTAATGAGTGAACATATAGTTAATCTGAAACATTCTTACGAGAGTTTGAAAACAACATGTATTTCACTCGTTCGATGAAGTTGGCTCCAATGGTAAGGTTAGATCCTGTCTGTCTTCCACAATGACAGAGCGTTCAGAGACTCATCCCAAAGGATGCCAAACAGACACAGCACAGCCGTCTAGACTGGAGTGCGCTTAATGGAACAGACATTCATCTTTCTCTAGCCCACAGGGCGATGGCATCACAGAGACAGACACAGACAGACAAGACAGCCTCTAGTGCGTTACCCTCATCTGTCAACCCAAAGACCTGGCTGCCACAGTGTACTGCTGCACTCTGTAATAGGGGCACTGTGAAAAGCAGTAGCAGGTGCTGGAGGGATGGTGTCTCTATGGTCCAGTAGTATGGGTCATTGCACTGCCCCAACAGCAGAGTGGATAGGAGTATAGATATATCCATAGATACATTGATACACTGATAGAAGAATACATTGTGACAGGGGATTGTTGACTAACTGATCTTCCAGTCCATGAAATGTCTATTGATACAAATTCAGACAGACAGATGTACAACAAAGACAGACAGATATACGCAGAGCGAGAGAGACACATTTGGATATAACTAAATGAGAGGACAGAGTTGGTTGTTACCCGTAGCCCTGGTGCCCAGCATGCGTCTGTCGTAGATGCGTACGGAGCTGTCGGAGCAGCCCACCGCCAGGTAATAGGGCACCAGCGGACAGATGGAGATAGACGTTGCCGCCCGCCGACAGTTTATCAAGATGTCCTGGTGAGAGGAAGAGAATGTAAACAACAGACTAGTTGGCTAAAATCAGGCAAACTGGCAAGATAAAAAGGTGTGACATGATATAATATAAAATAAGATACAATAAGAAGAATATGCTGACATTAAAACACAAGAGGCCAAATAATAGACCAATAAAAACAAAAATGAATAAGAGATAAGTGCTGATTGTTGGTGTTCTTTGTTTTAATTTATGTTCAAAATCAATACAAATGTCTTCCCCTCCTTCCTTACGTCTTTGCAGTCCTCTTTAGTGCAGCTGGTCTTAATGCGCAAGTCGAACCAGCGCACGGTGCCATCCTCCCCACACGACAGGAACGTGTAGGGGTCGTTGGGTACCGTCATAATCTAACAGCAGAACAGGAGGAGAGAGAGCAGCAAGATGTGAAGGGAAAGAGAGAGAGAGGTGGGAGGACATGTGAAAAAATGTAATGTTTGCATAGCTCCCTCAACCTATTTTCAATTAGCCACACAAAAAAATCAAGTTGAGAAACCCTTGTGTACAGTACCTCGTAGGCTGTGCCGTAGTGGCAGGTGAACTGGCACTGCCTGTTGATGTCAGGGCTCTTCTCTGTGTGGGTGTAGTAGATGATGCCATCTCCAGAGCACGAGATGATCTGCTGGTCACTGGTCTGGGGCATGAACTTAGCACTGAAGATGTTCGCCCGGTGACCCGACCGTATGGTTGCCTTGACCTGAGGAGAGTTTTAGAGAGGAGAGTGTGTAGCAAGTTGCAGTGGTGTGTGTGGTTGGCTCTGTTGTATACACAGGAAATCAATGATGTTTGAAATCAGTGTTACACATTTTTGGGTTAAATTGACTCTACTGGGAGTAATCTTAACCCTCAAGAGAGTTACACACTCCCTGGAGTTAGTGTTGATAACTGGAGTTCATTGGGACGGGGGGTACTTTTAACTCCATTAAGAGTAACCAGAGATGGAGAAATCTATGGAGTTATCCACAGATGTGGGAGAGGCCTCATTGTCATACTTCCCAGCATGCTCTGTTGCAGGTAGATTTTTTTGTCATTGTTTGTTTCAATATCTGTGTTTTCGCATGTACATTGACTTTTTAAAATCTTATAATAAACATAGATAAGAAAAATAAATTGTTCTACATTTATAGCAACCGTTAGTGAGATAGTATAGGTTAGTATAGGTAGTCTTCATGTACACTACATTACCAAAAGTATGTGGACAACTGCTCGTGGAACATCTCATTCCAAAATCATGGGCATTAATATGGAGTTGGTCCCCCTTTGGCTGCTATAACAGCCTCCACTCTTCGGGGAAGGCTTTCCACTAGATGTTGGAACATTGCTGCGGGGACACCCAAAGGTGTTTGATGGGGTTGAGGTCAGGGCTCTGTGCAGGCCAGTCAAGTTCTTCCACACCGATCGACAAACTATTTCTGTACGGACCTCGCTTTGTGCACGGGGGCATTGTAATGCTGAAACAGAAAAGGGACTTCCCCATCTGTTGCCACAAAGTTGGAAGCACAGAATCGTCTAGAATGTAATTGTATGCTGTAGCGTTAAGATTTCCCTTCACTGGAACTAAGGGGCCTAGCATGAACCATGAAAAACAACCCCAGACCATTATTCCTCCTCCACCAAACTTTACAGTTGGCACTATGCATTGGGGCAGGTCTCGTTCACCTGGCATCCGCCAAACCCAGATTCATCCGTCGGACTGCCAGATAGTGAAGCGTGATTCATCACTCCAAAGAACGCATTTCCACCGCTCCAGAGTACAATGGCGGCGAGCTTTACACCACTCCAGCTGACGCTTGGCATTGTGCATGGTGATCTTTGGTTTGTGTGCGGCTGCTCGGCCATGGAAACCCATTTCATGAAGCTCCCGAAGAACAGTTCTTGTGCTGATGTTGCTTCCAGAGGCAGTTTGATACATGGTAGTGAGTGTTGCAACTGCTTCAGCACTTGGCAGTCCCTTTCTGTGACCTTGTGTGGCCTACCATGTCGCGGCTGAGCCGTTGTTGCTCCTAGACATTTCCACTTCACAATAACAGCACTTACAGTTGACCAGGGCAGCTCTAGCAGGTCAGAAATTTGACGAACTGACTTGTTGGAAAGGTGGCATCCTATGACGGTGCCACGTTGAAAGTCACTGAGCTGTTCAGTAAGGCCATTCTACTGCCAATGTTTGTCTATGGACATCGCATGGCTGTGTGCTCGATTTTATACACCTGTCAGCAACGGGTGTGGCTGAAGTAGCCGAATCCACTAATTTGAAGGGGTGTCCACATACTTTTGTACATATAGTGTATTGTATTTTCTTCCCTACTCTGACAGGCATTCTGAATGTAAGTTGTGAATGATGTAAAAGTGCTGGATATCTTCCTGCAAGTTGACTTCCAACAGAAATGTGATATCACATTGCAAACCAACATAATTTGACACATTAAGAAATATTCAAATAAGGCTTTACACTCTTATAACTCAAAAGGAAATAAACTGAAAGAGAAATGTACTCTGCTGTAGTTGATTGTTAATTCAAAACAACACAGAAAAGTGTAAAATGACAAGGGAGTTGATTAAAAACAACAGTGAAAATAGTAAAATGGCAATTGGAGTTAATTTTAAGCAACTGAGAGTTGGATATTTACTGCATTTAGAGTCGTTTTAACTCCAAAAATATCAACACCATGACCAGAGTAGTTAACACAAAATGGGGGTGGGACCATATAAACCCCAAAATAGTGTTACATTTGCCTCCATAGGAGTTGAATTAACTGCAATTTTACTGTGTAGGAGCGTCTCAATAGTCTAAAGTGGCTCCCTCTCCTGGTATCCTCTTCATTTGCATTGAAGACCACTGGGATGCTCCCTATGTCTTCTGACTCAAAGGAAAATATTGATTCTCTCTCTCCCATGCTTCGTCAACTGAAGTCAACTCAATCACGCAAAAAACATTCTGGTCAGTTGAATTGTGCTTGACTAAGATAATTATAAAATGTAAAGCGTTAATATGTAACTTTTTGGGCGACATGACCAAATTCACATAGAAATGTGAGTTATAGGTCTGTCATTCGCATTGAAAGCAAGTCTAAGAGGCGGTAGATCTGTTCTATTTATGCTATTTCTATGCTTCTGGTTCTTAAGTTTTTGCATCTTTTACTTTCTGTTTTGTACACCAGATTCAAACAGCTGAAAATACAATATTTTTGGTTATTAAAAGGTATTTCACAGCGGTGTAGATGGTACAATGATTCTCTAGTCTACATTATACTTGCTTGTTTTGTCACGTAAACTGACATTAGGCAAATTATTAGAATTTAGCAACCAGGAAATGGTAGAGCGATTTCTGCATATTGCACCTTTAAGTGATTGGATAATAATTGTATAATAGAAGAGGGCTGACAAAGGTATACTTAATGCACGGCCGGGCACTGAAAAAAATTGAACCTGCACTTAATTGACCAAGGTCACTCTTGTTTGACCAAGGTCACTCTGGGCGGCAGGTAGCTTAGTGGTTAAGAGCGTTGTGCCAGTAACCGAAAGGTCGCTGGTTCTAATCCCCGAGCCAACTAGGTGAAAAATCTGTCGATGTGCCCTTGAGCAAGGCACTTAACCCTAATTGCTCCTGTAAGTCGCTCTGGATAAGAGCGTCTGCTAAATGATTAAAATGTAATGTAAATGTTTCATATCAACACAAGAGACAGACATCGCTGATTATATGATTTTTCAGAATCCCTCGACAGCCAATTTCTTTGGCTGTTGATTAGGGTGATGGGAGGTTTATAGAAATCTAACCACTGTCTGCTTTTTTCTCTGTCCGTCTTTATCGACAAGAAAGATCTTTCAGCAGGCATATAATGAGCACCTATAAAGCACTATCTCTATAAATCCAATCCATTATCATTTAACCCCAGGTAGATCCTGTTGTTATAACACAGTTAGCTACTTGATGTTGGTGATGTAAGGTCATAAGGTTCATCTGTATACAACAGAACTGGGTTCAAATACTATTTCAAAATACACTTCTTTGAACCCAGGTCTGGTATACAGTACATTAGACTCTAGCTCTCCTTACCTTTCTGTTGTATGGGTTTGTGATGACAAGGTTGGTATCGTCTGACCCTGACAGGATGTACTCCCCTGTATCGTTCCAGGATATGGTATTGACCTGATTGGGACAAAATACAGTGTGTGAGTTCACTCCCTGCACATATAACAATATTGAAACAACTTTATGAAAGAACGTCTACAACTGTGGATGTTCGTAAACCAATCTAAGGTGTAACATCTGAATGTGTCACTGTCCCTCAATCAAATAGAAACCAGGTGAACGTTCACCAAATGAGAAACATGGAACTAGAATGGAACTAAAGGCGGTGAACGCCTTCGCTAGGCGTCGTGTCTTTGGGACCGTAGATCAATATTTCATTAAGTCCTCCAGCGGAGGTCGATACACTCTTCCCTCCATTTCTGGGGCGAGACCCATCAGTGTGCAACAAGGTTGGTCACACAATCCCTCTTCATTGCCAAACCAAATTGGACCCCTCCTCCCCATCAACCCCCCAATTCCCAAATAGTCTTTCTGGGTGATTTAATCCCCTGTCATGTTTTATTTTCCGTCCCTTGTCGAGCAGCTTTAAAACACTGTAAAAGGTATTGCATTTTCACAGAACGGCTGTAATTTCGGAGAAACTGCTCACATCACTGTCTGAGAAAATACATTAGCTTAATAAGAGTGGTGTGTTATGTGCTAAAATAACACACATATGCTGTAACTAGATATATATGGTTGATGGTTTAGATTAGAAAGACACACACCACACTATACAGACAGACACAAAAGGGAGCTCATTCTAAATGTGGGGGACAATGTCATGCATGCATTGGAAACAGACAGATTATCTTTCAATGATAAAGAACGCTAAAGTCTCTCCAAAGGGGGTAAGAATGTTTTCCTGTTGTCACCACTCTGCTAACAACGTGTGTCAGTGGTGGCCAAGACAAAATACAGCCACGCTATTAAAGACTACACTGCTGTTAACTGGTATCCATCTAGAAAAGGCACAACATTTGATGTTACAGAAAAGTATTGTACAAATGTAGGTCTAGATTGTGTAATAAATAGGCTATTCACTGAAAAAACATGTTGGCATTGATATCACCGGTGGTAGGCGATGCTTTTCATATTATTTTCTTGCTTATTCAATTTCTTCTGGCCTAGCTCTGTGGGTTGCTAACATGAAATTGAGGAGATCATTAAATCATCACTATGACCACAATCAGGAGTTGGAACTGCTTAAGGGAACAAAACCGGTAACGAAAGTGATCTGTAGTGTTCCGGAACAGAACTGATATATTCGTATTTTATTTGTAAAATGTTTATCAATATGACATTACATAACACTAACAATACAGATATATCAGTGGTTGGAATATTAAAAGAGCAAAAAAAAAAAGTTAACATATTTGTTTTGATAAAAATAAAAAATACATCAACAAAAAAAACATTACACATACATTTGTTCCAACTTATGCCCTAGCTTCTCACCCGCACGTCCCTTATATACAGTTGAAGTAGGAAGTTTACATACACTTAGGTTGGAGTCATTAAAACTCATTTTTCAACCACTCCACAGATTTCTTGTTAACAAACTATAGTTTTGGCAAGTCGGTTAGGACATCTACTTTGTGCATGACACAAGTAATTTTTCCAAAAATTTACAGACAGACAGATTATTTCACTGTATCACAATTCCAGTGGGTCAGAAGTTCACATACACTAAGTTGACTGTGCCTTTAAACAGCTTGGAAAATTCCAGAAAATGATGTCATGGCTTTAGAAGCTACTGATAGGCTAATTGACATCATTTGAGTCAATTGGAGGTGTACCTGTGGATGTATTTCAAGGCCTACCTTCAAACTCAGTGCCTCTTTGCTTGACATCATGGGAAAATAAAAAGAAATCAGCCAAGACCTCATAAAAAAAATGGTAGACCTCCACAAGTCTGGTTCATCCTTGGGAGCAATTTCCAAACGCCTGAAGGTACCACGTTCATCTGTACAAACAATAGTACGCAAGTATAAACACCATGGGACCACACAGCCATCATACCGCTCAAGAATGAGACGCGTTCTGTCTCCTAGAGATGGACGTACTTTGGTGCGAAAAGTGCAAATCAATCCCAGAACAGCAGCAAAGGACCTTGTGAAGATGCTGGAGGAAACAGGTACAAAAGTATCTATATCCACAGTAAAATGAGTCCTATATCGACATAACCTGAAAGGCTGCTCAGCAAGGAAGAAGCCACTGCTCCAAAACCGCCATAAAAAAGCCAGACCACAGTTTGCAACTGCACATGTGGACAAAGATCGTACTTTTTTGAGAAATGTCCTCTGGTCTGATGAAACAAAAATAGAACTGTTTGGCCATAATGACCATCGTTATGTTTGGAGGAAAAAGGGGGTTGCTTGCAAGCCGAAGAACATCATCCCAACCGTGAAGCACGGGGGTGGCAGCATCATGCTGTGGGGGTGCTTTGCTGCAGGAGGGACTGGTGCACTTCACAAAATAGGTGGCATCATGAGGAAGGAAAATTATGTGGATATATTAAAGCAACATCTCAAGACATCAGTCTGGAAGTTAAAGCTTGGACGCAAATGGGTCTTCCAAATGGACAATGACCCCAAGCATACTTCCAAAGTTGTGGCAAAATGGCTTAAGGACAACAAAGTCAAGGTATTGGAGTGGCCATCACAAAGCCCTGACCTCAATCCTATGGAGAATGTGGGCAGAACTGAAAAAGCATGTGCGAGCAAGGCCTACAAACCTGACTCAGTTACACCAGCTCTGTCAGGAGGAATGGGCCAAAATTCACCCAACTTATTGTGGGAAGCTTGTGGAAGGCTACCTGAAACGTTTGACCCAGGTTAAACAATTTAAAGGCAATGCTACGAAATACTTATTGAGTGTATGTAAACTTCTGACCCACTGGGAATGTGATGAAAGAAATAAAAGCTGAAATAAATCATTCTCTCTACTATTATTCTGACATATCACATTCTTAAAATTAAGTGGTGATCCTAACTGACCTAAGACAGGGAATTTTTACTAGGATTAAATGTCAGGAATTGTGAAAAACTGAGTTTAAATGTAATTAGAAAAGTGTTCCCATATCATACTAAATTTCCCTTTCCTCTCCTGTAATTTCGCTATCATTGATTCATAAGATGCAGTCTCCACCATGAGTTTGAGCCAATCTGTTGATTTCGGACCATCTGCGCTCTTCCAGTTACGTAGTATGAGTCTAGCCGCAGTAAGAAAACCCACTGAGGCAAGACCAAACTCTTCTTTGCTAACACCTGGTAGTAAAATAGATATATCCCCTAATAAGCACAGCTGTGAAAGGGAGCACCATGTGACATTCCCATATAGCATGCAAAAAGGTACCTACTTCACCCTTGCATTTCCAGCATAAATTATTTTGCAATAAACCCATTTTATGTAATCTAACTGGGGTCCAGTAGTATCTATGAACAATCGTATGTGTAAATGTACCCCTTGTATCCCTGGTACACCACCCTACATAGGAAACTACATTTTTCAATACATCCTCTTCAATGTCACAATTAAGATCCCTCTGCCAAATCAGTTTCCATATTGTGCATATGAGACTCTTTTATAAAAACACTGAAGCGGAGTGTGATATTCCTGGTAACATGAAATATTGTTCTAACAAGTTTTAATCTCTCTGGAGGTTAATACTCCTAAAAGACCCCATGCAGCTCCTTAGTTGTAAGTATTTCCAGAAATCAGCCTTATAATTGCAAATTACATTTCTCCTTCAGGTTCTGATAGGACATAAGCACTCCTTTATCATATAGATCCCCTAGTGCATGCAGGCCTTGTCTAAGCCATACCTCCCAGATAAATGAAATATTTTCCTATGGAAACCGATGGGTTGTGCATATGGAAGAATATTTTTGTTTATACTGGGAAATTCCAAGCATCTTATGAATCTTAACCCATACCTCTCGGGAATGTTGTAGGATTGGGTTATCCTCTTCAGTTGGCTGTCTCTGAATATTTTGGGGTGATAAGGCCTCAATAGGCTTAAACGGGGCTGTGATAGACCTGTCAATCTGAGTCCATCCCAAATGGGAATCATATTTGCCCCATTGTCTGGGCAATTTGGCTACTTCAAATGATATGTTGTAAAGTTCTACATTGGGTAGTGCTAGTCCTCCTTTATCCCTTGGAAAATATAACTTGTTCACATTTATTCTGGGGTTTTTCCCATCCCAAAGATAATCCTTAATCATTTGATTGTACTGCTTAAATAGTAAAGGAGAAATGGTCACAGGGAGCATCATGGACACATATTTAAACTGTGGTGCCACAACCATTTTCACAGTATTTATTTTGCCCCATAAAGTAAGATTAAGCAACCTCCATTTACCAAGATTATTCTAAATTTTTTGTAGTAGTGGCATCATATTAATTTGCATTATATTTTGCAGTTCATTGCTCAGTCTTATACCCAGGTATTTCATCCCTGATGGCACCCATTTTAACTGTAATGAAGTAATTGCAACAGGAGGACAGAATTTGGATACAGGCATAGCCTCTGACTTCTGCCAATTAATCTTATAACCAGATATCTGTGAGAACATGTCAATTGTGTTCAAAACCAAAGGGATTGATGTGGCCGGTTCCCTAATAAGTAACAATATGTCGTCAGCATATAAGAACAGTTTACGCTCTCTGGCACCTCCCATTACTCCTTTGATTCCTGAATCAGCTCTGATTGCTGCTGCCAAGGGCTCCAAAAATAGAGTAAAAAGGAGAGGTGAGAGAGGACTGCCCTGCTGGGTTCCCCTCGACAAATTAAAAAAGGAAGAGATCATACCATTTGTGAGGACTGCTGCTCTTGGATTGGAGTATAATACCTTAACCCACTTGGTATTTGTCAAAAAGCCCCACTCCACCCTATCGAATGTCTTCTCTGCATCTAGGGAAAGGGCTGCCACCTGAGTATCCTCTTTTTGACTCAGCCACATGAGGTGAAGCAAACGTCTAAGATTGTCTGTGGAGGTTCTACTTTTTACAAATCCCACCTAATCTATGTTAATAATATGAGGTAAAACCTTCTCCAGCCTCATGGCTAGTACTTTGGAGAGCACCTTACAATAAACTCAGATTAAACTGATAGGGCGAAAACTGCCTGGGTCAGTGGGGTCTCTATCCTTCTTAAGAATGAATGAAATTAGTGCCTTATTAAAAGTGTCAAGTAGCTGCTCCAGCAGAACTGTTCTTTTCAAATCTTGAGAACTGGTTAATAAAAACAAAATGTGTTCCAAAAATATTTGTAATGTAAAGTAGCTTCAGAAAGTATTCATACTCCTTGACTTGACATTTTGTTGTGGTACAGCCTGAATTCAAAATGGATTCAATAGATTTGTTTCACACCTATCTACACACAATACCCCATAACAACAATTAGACATTTTTGCACATTTATTGAAAATAAAATACAGAAATATCGAATTTGTTTAAATATATATTTAAATATATTGTTTAAATATTCACGTTAGAATCACCTTTGACAGTGATTACAGCTGTGAGTCTTTCTGGGTACGTCTCTAAGAGCTTTGCACAATATTTGCACAATATTCTAAAAAATAATATTTAAGCTCTGTCAAGTTAGTTGTTCATCATTGCTATACAGCCATTTCTTGCAATAGATTTTCAAGCCGATTTAAGTCAAAACTTCATTCAATGTTGTCTTGGTAAGCAACTCCAGTGTATATTTGGCCTTGTGTTTTACGTTATTGTCCTTCTGAAAGGTGAATTTGTATTGTATGAATTAGTCTCGCAGTGTCTGATGGAACGCAAACTGAACCAGGTGTTCCTCTAGGATTTTGCCTGTGCTTAGCTCTATTGCGTTTATTTTTTTTCCTAAAAAACTCCCTAGTCCTTGCCGATGACAAGCATACCCATTACAAATCAAATCAAATTTTATGCAGCCACCAACCTTGCTTGAAAATATGAAGACTGGTACTCAGTGATGTGTTGGGTTGGATTTGCCCCCAAAATAACGCTTTGTATTCAGGACATAAAGTTAATTTCTTTGTCACATTTTTTGCAGTTTTACTTTAGTGCAATGTTGTTGATCCATTCTCAGTTTCTCCTACCACAGCCATTAAACTCTGTAACTGTTTTAAAGTCACCATTGACCTCATTGTGAAATCCCTGAGCGGTTTCCTTCCTCTCCGGCAACTGCGTTAGGAAGGACACCTGTATCTTTGTAGTGACTGGCTGTATTGATACACCATCCAAAGTATAATTAATAACTGCACCATGCTCAAAGGGATAATCAATGTCTGCTTTTTTTTTATCCATCTACCAACAGGTGCCCTTCTTTGAGAGGAGAGGCATTGGAAAACCACCCTGGCCTTTGTAGTTGAATCTGTTTGAAATTCACTGCTTGACTAAGGGACCTTACAGATAATTGTATGTGTGGGGTACAGAGATGAGGTAATCATAAAAAAATAATGTTAAACACTTTTATTGCACACAGACTGAGTCCATGCAACTTGTGACTTGTTAAGCACATTTCTACTCCTGAACTTATTTAGGCTTGCCATAACAAAGGGGTTGAATACTTATTAAGTTTTTAATTAATGGTAAACATTTCTAAAAACATATTTCCACTTAGACATTATGGGGTATTGTGTGTAGGCCAGTGACACAAAATCTCAATTTAATCCATTTTAAATTCAGGCTGTAACACAACAAAATGTGGGAAAAAATCAAGGGGTGTGAATACCTTCTGAAGGCACAGTAATTCTATAATTTGGTTAAATTATAATGCTAGTAATAGCCTAAACACATTCCAATTCACGTCATGTCATGATGTTCAGCGCTTCAAGCCAAGCACCCTCCATGTCCACCCCTCTCTTGCTCTCCCCCCACCTGTGAAATTTCAGTGGCATCTCGGGCTTGCACTTACCTGACCAATCAAACATGTACACTACCAGTCAAAAGTTTGGACACACCTAAAGGGTTTTTCTTTATTTTTACTATTTTTTAGATTGTAGAATAATAGTGAAGACATCAAAACTATGAAATAACACATATGGAATCATGTAGAAACCAAAAGAGTGTTGAACAAATCAAAATGTATTTTATATTTGAGATTTTTCAAATAACCACCATTTGCCTTGATGACAGCTTTGCACACGCTTGGCATTCATGAGGTAGTGACCTGGAATGCATTTCAATTAACAGGTGTGCCTTGTTAAAAGTTAATTTGTGGAATTCCTTCTTAATGCATTTGAGCCAATCAGTTGTGTTGTGACAAGGTAGGGGGTATACAGAAGATGGCCCTATTTGGTAAAAGACCAAGTCCATATTATGGCAAGAACAGCTCAAAAAAGCAAAGCGAAATGAGAGTCCATTACTTTAAGACATGAAGGTCAGTCAATACGGAACATTTCAATAACTTTTAAAGTTTCTTCAAGTGCAGTCTCAAAACCATCAAGTGCTATGATGAAAATGGCTCTCATGAGGACCGCCACAGGAATGGAAGACCCAGAGTTTCCTCTGTTGCAGAGGATACGTTCATTAGAGTTACCAGCCTCAGAAATTGCAGCCCAAATAAATGCTTCACAGAGTTCAAGTCACAGACACATCTCAACATCAACTGTTCAGAGGGGACTGTGTGAATCAGGCCTTCATGGTCGAATTGGTGCAAAGAAACCACTACTAAAGGACACCAATAATAATAAGAGACCTGCTTGGGCCAAGAAACACGAGCAGTGGACATTAGACCGGTGTAAATCTGTCCTTTGGTCTGTAGTCCAAATTTGAGATCTTTGGTTCCAACTGCCGTGTCTTTGTGAGACGTGGTGTGGGTGAACGGATGATCTCCGCATGTGTATTTCCCACCGTAAAGCATGGAGGAGGAGGTGTTATGGTGTGGGGGTGCTTTGCTGGTGACACTGTCTGTGATTTATTTAGAATTCAAGGCACACTTAACCAGCATGGCTACCACAGCATTCTGCAGCAATACTCCATCCCATCTGGTTTGGGCTTAGTGGGACTATCATTTGTTTTTCAACAGGACAATGACCCAGCACACCTCCAGGCTGTGTAAGGGCTATTTTACCAAGAAGGAGAGTGATGGAGTGCTGCACCAGATGACCTGGCCTCGACAATCCACCGACCTCAACCCAATTGAGATGGTTTGGGATGAGTCGGACGGCAGAGTGAAGGAAAAGCAGCCAACAAGTGCTCAGCATATGTGGGAACTTCTTCAATACTGTTGGAAAACCATTGCAGGTGAAGGTGGTTGAGAGAATGCCAAGAGTGTGCAAAGCTGTCATCAAGACAAAGGGTGGCTATTTAAAGAATCTCAAATATAAAATACATGTTGATTTGTTTAACACTTTTTTGGTTACTACATGATTCCATATGTGTTATTTAATAGTTTTGATGTCTTCACTATTATTCTACAATGTAGAAAATAGTAAAAACAAAGAAAAACCCTTGAATGAGTAGGCGTGTCCAAACTTTTGACTGGTACTGTTTATAACATCTTACCCGTTCCACAGCAAGCTGCTCTATCGGCGCTAATTGGGGGAGTAAATGAATGTATGAACTGTACTATATGGGAACTATATGAACTGTAACTTTTCTTTCGTTATTTTCTGGTCGGAACGGAACTAAAAAAATTGGGGTTCTCCTGCCACAACCACCATCTTTTTTGTTCAAGCAGACTGTAGCTTGATCTTAATATAGGCCTATCCTATCACCTGCATTACAAATTCTTCTGCATGTTGTGCTGTATACTAATACTACTTGATCAAACTCTGTAGGAATACTGTGTGTCTGTGTCAGTCCTTTTGCCACCCAGACCACTGTGTGCCACCTTCTGTTGCCCAGATGCCCCTGGCTGCCCAGGTCCCTACCTCCCTCCACTCTCCAGCCTCAACTCAACCCGACTCAACCAGCGGGGTATACTACAAAGCAGGTTCAATGAATTAGCCAGCTAACTAAATATTCTGAAATTACTTTTAATGTTTTTGAAAGATAAGATTGAAATAGGCATGGTCTAATTGACTCAACAACCAAAAACACATTTCTAAGTTTCGCTTTCTTAATGAACCAGAAAACCAATAGTTATTCATCCAAGTTAGCTGGCTAACTCATTGATGCTGCTTTGTAGTATACCCCTCTGACCCTTCAGAGTCAGACTAGCATCATTTTGAATCAGTCTGAAACCAACCCCTACAGTAGTTTCTTCTCCTTGCCCCAAGCCCCAGTACCTTCTGTGTTGTAGATCTACAGGAAGAAGAAAGGTGTGAGCAGCAATACGGCACAAGCTCCCATAAACCCCCTTTAGAAATTCAGATCTGCATATGCCTACAACACCAAGGAGTCGAAACATGGGCAAGAGGCTGTTTAAGAAATGTGTATTTTTGTAAAATAAGTGTAATAATAGCCTACATGACAATACAGTATGTATTAGGCTACTTCTGTGATCCAGTACTTTTGTACAGTATGTTATCTACAGAGTAGATCTAAATGTATCTTTTCCATCTTAGTTTTTCAACATCTGGCAATACAGTGATTTGGGAAACTGAAAAGTGATGGCCCCCAGCACCAACACAACATCTCGTCACTCGTAAGGGCACAATAGAGGTTGTGAGTTAGAATGGCACCCGTGACATGTTGGAGGGCAGCTCGACTTCAGGTCTCCAAAATGAGAGAGAGGACGTTCGTGACAGACAGGACCTCAGGGAGAGAGACAGGGGCTGGTGATGCAGTAAGCGGAGCGACATTTAAAAATGGCTTCCTTACGTCTTCTTGTCCCTTTGCGTCTTTCATATGCACTGATAAGGACTGGGTAGGTGGGAGTGATATGGCGTAAACTCCAAGCTACTGGTTTGAGAGAATAGAGCTAACACAATTTGACAGAACTCGCTTGGACAAATATGTGTATGTAGCCTACAATCCGGGAATATTGCAGTAAGTTGTACGAGGGGATTGTGTATGGCAGACAGATTTTGTTTGTACTATGCAGAAGTTTCATCAACCCTTTGTTGTTTATCTCTTTATTTTCCAAACAGAAGACTCCAACCAACTGAATGGACAGGATTAGAATGACAGAATCACTCCCTGTCCATCTGTCCATCACTTCCTGTCTGTCCGTCACTCAGTCAGTCAGTCTCACTGACTGACAGACAGGGGGGGAGGGTGAAGTGCTCTAAAGATGAAAGGAGGGACAGACATGCACAGTGTACACCACAGACACAAAAACACACACAGGGTGGGTAATATGTACTTACACAGCCATCGTGAACATTGAGTGTCGCTTCGAGTTTCAGCCGCTGGACAAATTCTCTTCTACCTGTGCAGAAACAGAAGAAAGACATTCTTTCAAGTCACAATTGTTTAGCCATGACTTGAACTTTCATTTATTTTTGGACTACTTCAGTCAGCATTAAAAATGACTGATGAATTCAAGTCATCGACTAGGGTAGATGACAAAGCAATGGCCATACCCTATACCAGAAGTGTTGGAACCCATTTGTAAGGCTCCATTTTGTTTTGCCATGGTTTGTTTTCATGCCTCAGCTCTCAGTATTTACAGAGGGAGCAGGGAGAGGACTAACGCGTCACATAGAATCATTGCAATCAGTCTTTCTGTGGCTTATAATGTATTATTCATCTTGAGGAAGCCTCCCTCGCATCTGCTGTCACCATCACAGGGAGAGGGGAAGAACCAAATGAGCAGGCTGCCTATCCTGTCCTGAAATAGACTAATGTCATGAAGAAAGGTTCAGGTTTGGCAGTGAACTTGCTTCTAAACTTAAACTGTATCAGGCTAGAAGATGCAGGTTTTAAAATAAATCCTTGCCTCAAATTATTCAACTTGCCTTAGAATAGTAAGAAAAAAAACATTGGGCGAGAATTCATGCCCTCAGGTAAAGCGATGACAGGCTAGAATCTAAAAACCATTCATTGCATTCTGTATTCGTAGAGGGCATGGAAAGGAAGGCCTTAGTTCCATCATCCACTATGACAGACTCTACTGTGCATTGACAGTACAAGGCCAATGTCAAAGGCAATAAAGTAGAATTACAGCAGACAGTCATTAACACTATGGCCTTTGTGACCTTGCGTGCCTCGGTGCCAGTCCTGAAATGCTCATATAAACAAACACTGATACTATGTATATTGTGTCGCCTAGCCAGATGAAATTGGAAAGTCCCATTCAATAATAGAGAGGCAAAGGTAAATAAATAGGTAATATGATAAATAAATAAACAGGCCAATGCTCTGTAATCGTATTGAAGTCTGAGCTTCAAGTTAGTAAGTGCATTCAAGGCACAATATCAGCTTTTGTCCTACATCTGGGTTCTAGTTCATTGCTGCTGCATTGCTGTTCAAATCAAACAGTTATTCGTGCCGGACTATCAACACTCCAGGCACCCCCCCACCCACACACACACCTCTATGCCATGATGTTCTTTTCACATCCAATCCATTTTGAGAGTGTTGAGGATTAGACCCAATCAATAAGAGAAAATGGAGGGCAACAGAGAGCTCTTCCCAGGTCAGTGATGTCCCCAAAGACATGCCTGAAAGCTGCCCATTTTACGCTCACACCTTCTGGAATGAACAGCTTCGGCTGCATCAATATAACGATATTTCACCATTGGAGAAGTGGAATATTGAAGACATGCTTGTAAAAAGGCCTGACAGCTCAAAATGGTGTTGTCTCCATATCCCCTCCTTTGTCTTCAACCTTCAGATATTTAAAGTCAAATGTCTAAAAAGAGAATGAGACACCAGATAAACATGTCCCAGCCCCCTCTTTATTTTTCTGATAAGCATTGATGTCATGTGATGATAGATTTAACATATTTAGCTGAAACCATGTAGGCTACTTTGATCTTGCTAAATCTCATGGGTGAGGAAGACTGTGCAACATATAGCCTTAAATGTTCTATGGTTAGCCTAGGCCTAACTCTCCCTTAAAGTATCCTTCTAGCTTTTGTTGGGATTTAGATTCCACAAATGCTATGCTAGCCCCCCTGGCGGCCCCCCTTTTACAGTGCCAAATGTAGCCTCTAACTGGTATGATTACATGCATGTCTCTCCTGTCCATTGATTTTGACAGTTCTAGCAACACAGCCAGCCTAGTCAAGCTAAATGCAGCGCTAGGCAGATCCATACGCCACCTGCCCCACCCCTGGGCCTGCTAATCCTCACTCAAACACCACTCAATACAATCAATCACAGGTTAGCTTGGCCCCAGATAGAAAATACACATTTACCATTCCGGTAGCCCCAGACAGCATAACCACATATAGCCTATAACATCATGCTATCCAAGCTAAAGTGTCACCACATCCCAGTGTCACCAAACCCTAGAGAAGAGAAGTGACAGGCAATTGACCCTGTGCCAAGAGGTCTGATTCTGAAGAAGGAACCATAGTGGGTTTAAAAACTAGACACACTTTAATTTTTCAGTGTTTCTCATTCTTGAGGTAGATGACACTAAAATCACTGGTACGGATGGAGATGTGTGCCAACATTTGCATCCCATCAGTGACTGAGACTGTCTGGGCCTCTGATTGAAGATGGTTGGTATCCTGAATGGCATGGTTAGCACAGTGTCTGTCAATTCCATAAAGTTTGAGAGCAGAGGCATCTTTGAGTCAATATCACATAGGATACCATGACCATAGCTTTGTTGCTACACACTGTGCACTGTGGTTGATACTGTAGCTTTTCAAGCATGTGGTAATTGTTATTCATCTTTGGGAAACAGAGAATGTGAAACCTGCAGAAGATCACATCTCTCAAAGCCACTTCCTCACTAATGATTCACTGAAATCATATTTGTGATAAAGTGTAACATACATACTAAGCTTGCCCTAAAGTAAATTGCCAAAATGATATAGCCTAATTAGCCTACTCCAATAAATAAAATAAATATAGGCTACTACACCAGAAAGCATGATTTGGCCAGAGAGGATCATTAGATTATTTTTTAAAAATAAGATGTGGATTGCTTTAAATCGCATTGTCTACAGTCGGGAGGGCCCACAGTTTGGGCAGCGCGAGCGGATATGCTAACTAGATGATTGTTGAGTTGCGACTGTCAGTGAAAGGTAGAGGCCCAGCCAGGCATACCGCAATATTTCAAAAATACAATCATGGGAAAACAGTTTGTTAAGCAAATGGCTAATGCTGTAAAGAGAAGACAATATTCTAATCTGTCTTTTAGTTATCAACATTCTCAACTTAATTGAGCGAACAGTATAGCCTAGGCCTACCTTCTTGGCACCAGCGGAGAGCATCGGCCATATCCCCGGTGAGTGCTCATATTCACTCTTTATCATTGTTGGGTCAGTGCCACATGAAAGTTTGTTTTTGGACAATAATTTCCTCCTCCAGGTTAGATGGACGTCATATTGTATGAGTCTCCCCTTCTCGTAGGCCTTTTATATGGATCCGACAATGTTGTTTTTATTGATCTGTTTGTCAGTGTAAGCAGAGTAGTGTATCTTGTAATTTGTGTAAAAATATATATGTTTCACCTAATGTCTCCAGTCATATAAAGTGTAGTAGAATTGCATGAAATGTGTTTATAAAAAGCCACATTTTTCCCCTGCAAAAAAAAGAAACGTATCTGATATAGCCTATAGCAGGGGTGTCAAACTCATTTTAGCTCAGGGGCCACATGGAGGAAAATCTATTCCCAAGTGGGCCGGATCAGAAAAATCATGGTATATATATATATAACTTAAAAACAACTTCAGACTTCAGATTGTTTTCTTTGTTTTAATACGATCAACATACAACATAAAGCTGGAGCCTGAGGACAGTGTGTCCAAAATAGTACAAGCACAACATCACTATTAATCATAAAACACGTCAAGTTTATTTGAAAATTCTAAAGAAAAAGAACACACAAACACACACTGCCTCAGTGATTAACAGAACTGTTTCACAGATCACAGAACTATATCAGGGTGTCATTTCTCAGGCAGAAATGTAGATAAAAAGAATGAAATCCTGTTCCCCAAACAAGTGCAAGAACCACAGAGTCAAGAATAGGTTAAATATACAAATAAAATAAAATAAATTAAAAACAATAGCACATCAACATAAAAACATATAAACATAAATCTGAAAGCGTTGCTCAAACTCCCGTAACAGTCCCGTTATTTTATCTTTGAACCGCTTCATGTCTGCCACATGTTGGGTCGCGCACACATTTTTCAGACAGGGGAAGTGAGCTGCATCACCACCGGCAAGTTGCGTCTCCCACAATGACAGCTTCAACTTGAAAGAATGTATGCTGTCATAATACTGCGTGACAACTTTGTTGCGCCCTTGCAGCTGTTTGTTCAAGTTATTCAGGTGCTCTGTAACATCCACCATAAATGCAAGGTCCTGCATCCATTCTGCGGAATGAAATTCTAACACTGGTTTGCCCTTTTCTTCCATGAACTGTTCAATTTCTTCTCGTAAATCAAAGAAACGCCTCAGCACAGCACCTCGGCTTAACCATCTTACCTCAGTGTGGTATGGCAGGCCATAGATGTGGTCTTTCTCTCTGAGAAGGCTGTCAAACTGACGGTGATTCAGGCTTCTGGATCGGATGAAATTAACAGTTTGGATGACCACCTTCATGACGTTATCCATCTTTAATGACTTGCAACACAAAGCCTCCTGGTGCAAAATACAGTGAAAAGTCAAAAAATCACATCCTCCATTTGCAGATTGCACTTTCTCTCAGAACTTTGTCACAACGCCTGCTTTTTTCCCGATCATTGAGGGCGCACCATCTGTAGCCAGGCTGACAGCGCGGGACCAGTCCACTCCGACCCTGTCCAGCGCGCCAACGAGTGCGGTAAAAATATCAGCTGCTGTCGTTGTATCTGTCATCGGCACCAACTCCACGAACTCCTCGGTGACGGTCAATGTGTCATCAACTCCGCGGATGAAAATGGCCAGTTGTGCAACATCTGTAATGTCCGTGCTTTCATCAATTGCAACCGAAAACGCAATAAATGACTTTACTTTTTGCTTCAACTGGCTGTCCAAATCCACTGAAAGATCGGAAATCCTGTCTGCAACTTTGTTTCTTGTCAGGCTGATATTTGCAAAAGCCTGCCGCTTTTCAGGGCACACAATCTCCGCTGCCTTCATCATGCATGTTTTTACAAATTCACCCTCACTAAATGGTTTTGAAGCCACTGCGATTTCATTAGCAATGAGGTAGCTAGTTTTCACTGCAGCGTCCCTGATGTCTCGGCTGTGAGTAAACACAGACTGCTGTTTCTTCAGACCCGCCAACAGTTCATTAACCTTCTCTCATCTCCGCTGTCCTTGAAAGTTGTCATATTTGTCGGCATGAAGACTCACAGTGGCGACAAAGGTTATATTCTTTCAGCACTGCAACATGCTCTGAACACACCAAACATACAGCTTTCCCATTCAATTCCGTGAATAAATAGAAGGATGACAATTTTTCTTGGAACACTCTGCGTCCACTTTTCTCTTTTTTGACAGATACATATTGGGGCAATGAGGGTGCCAAAGCACATAATGTTAAAAGTAGAAGCCGGAATAAATATCGCGGGCAAAACAAAGTAGCTCATTGGCTGCACGTGCTTGACCTACTTGCTCTGCCCCGGTATAAACAGTTTGCTTGCTTAACACAATTGATATTGCGCCATCCAGTGAACGCAATTGGAAGAGCAGTTTATTTTATTGAAAAATTGCAGCGCATTTTTATACTTGACCAAATTATGATTATTTTTTGTATTATTTTTTGTATTATTATTTTTTTTTTTATCATCTCGCTGGCCGGATTAAACCCGTTTGCGGGCCTAATCCGGCCCGCGGGCCGGACGTTTGACACCCCTGGCCTATACCATAGTCCTACTCTACGCCACTATGTGCTCAGCCATGCATTGAACAGTCTTTTTTTATGAACAGCGATTGAGTTATATTATTAGCCGACCCAACTACCTCATCCCCATATTGTTATTTACATTATGTATTTTGCTCATTTGCACCCCAGTATCTCTATTTGCACATAATCTTCTGCACATCTATCACTCCAGTGTTAATACTAAATTATAATTGTAATTATTTTGCACTATGGCCTATTTATTGCCTTACCTCCATAACTTACTGCATTTCCACACAATTTATATAGATTTTCTATTGTGTTATTGACTGTACATTTTGTTTATTCCATATGTAACTCTGTGTTGTTGTTTTTTCCGCACTGCTTTGCTTTATCTTGGCCAGGTCGCAGTTGTAAATGAGAACTTGTTCTCAACTGGCTTACCTGGTTAAATAAAAGGTTAAATAAAAATATTACTATCTAAACTACTTATCACATTAGAAATAGTTGCCTACAAGTCTGCAAATGCGATGATGCATGGAATGCTTTATTATAGGCCTAAAGGTGCATTTTTATTGTAACATACTAAATCAGCCTAAGCTTTGTCTCAATAGGCAATATCAACAAATCTGTGAACATTAGTAATTAACTGTGCCACTAGAGATCCTGGTTCGAATCCAGGCTCTGTCGCAGCCGGCCGCGACCGGGAGACTCATGGGCGGCGCACAATTGGCCCAGCGTTGTCCAGGGTAGGGGAGGGAATG